GCTGAACAGCGCAAGATCACTGCCGAACTTGAGAAGGAGAACATGAACAAGGCACAGGTTCCCATGGCCGAGAAGAGTATCAGCGAGGAGCTCCAATGCGGCAACTGCAAGCAGAAGAAGGTCAGCTATTCGCAGGCACAAACACGTTCTGCTGATGAACCGATGACCACTTTCTGCGAATGCATGAACTGTGGCAAGCGTTGGAAGGTAAGGAAGAAATCCTCAATGAGTTCTATTATTGTCGCCAGGAAGCAGTTACTGATCACTATGTACAGTTCTCGTAAATGACTTGTTTCAATCAAGGATCCGACACTCTGGACCAAGGCGGACCGGCAGACTGTTCTTTAATGAATTACGAGAGTCGTGGAGAGATTAGAGCGTGGACGGCGTTTGCTTGTCAATTCAGCGTGACCAATTTGGTTGCGACGTAAGGGCCACACCATAATCTGGGGGCTTCTTTTTATGTTTCTTGGTCCCCTTGCTCTCGCGAACATGGGTGATACTACTCGTACTAGCAAGACTAGCAACAGAGTAAATGTACAATAGATGACAAACCTCTATATAGACCCTGTGTCAAAAGTGTTCGTCGTCGGCAGCAAGACCATATCCGGTTGGTATATCACGATTGGCCGCAATGATCATTTTTCGGCAGGGCTGAGTCCCAAGAATCCGAACAGATCGTCTGTGTCCTCTTGCTCTTCCAGTCCCAACTCTCCCACCTTTTTCCAAAACTTGCTCAGGTGTCTTGTACCTGAATCGCAGAGTACAGTGACGACTCTGCTCCCTTCGGGTAACTTCATGGCCGCAGCCACAGCGGCGACGCAGTTGACCGAGCTGCTGCTCCCTACAAATATGCCGTCGTGCTCTACTAGCCACCTCGCCATCTTACATGCCTGCTCATCAGAGACCTTTACGGCATCTGTTATGTAGTCCCGTCCCTCGTTGAAGTTGTTTGTGATTCTGTTGATGCCGATGCCCTCTACAATGGTGTCGACTTGTTGCCGCCGCCTGGTGCCTTCCTTTTCCGTAGCCGAGTACATGACTCCGTACTTGACCTTGTTGTAAAGCCCGCTGCCCTGAGGATCCGCCAGCACAATCTTGAGGTCGTCCAGCTTGGCCTCCTCCTTAAGGTACTTGGTCACGCCGGAGATGGTGCCGCCCGTGCCCGCGCCGGCGACAAAGGCCGAGATCTCGCCGCCGGTCTGGTAGTAGATCTCGGGCCCCGTGGTGTTGTAGTGGGCGAGCCAGTTGGCGCCGCTCTCGAACTGGTCGGCGAAGAAGCCGTTGCTCTCGACCCGGCGGTCCGCCGTGTGCTCGCGGGCGCGGCGCCGGGCCAGGTTGACAAAGTGGTCCGGCGAGGTGATGGGGGCGACGCGGACGCGCTCGACGGTGGCGCCGAGGTGGTGCAGCAGGTCCGACTTCTCCTTGGCCTGGTCGTCGGGCATGCAAATGTGCGCCTTGTAGCCCTTTGCGCGGGCCAGGGCCGCCAGCGAGATGCCCGTGCTGCCCACCGTGCCTTCGTAGATGGTGTCGCCGCGCCCCGGGACCAGCAGGCCCGCGGCCTCGCCCGCCTGGATCATGGACAGGGCGACCCGGTCCTTGGGGCTGTTGCCGGCGCCGTTGAGGAACTCGGCCTTGGCCATGATGATGCGGCCCGTGGCGTCCGATAGGGACTTGATCTCCACCAGCGGCGTGTTGCCAATGCATCCCTCGATGCCCACGACGGGCCCGGTGGTGGGCGGCAGCAGCCCGGCGCCATTGTCGTCGGCTTTCTTGTCGTCGTGGTCCTCGAGCTCTACGGGACCCCAGAAGAAACTTGACCGCCGCCTGGCCGTCTCGGCCTCGGCAGCCAGGCTAGACCTGTGCGAGGACTGACGCGCCGTGCGTCGCTTGCCCTGTTGATATCGCCTTTCCAGATCGGGATAAAAGTCTTTGAAGCCCAGAGTGACACATACGCCCGCGACAAAGGCCACGGCCACGGCCGCGGTGCCGTAAGCTTTGGGGTGAGAGCTTAAAGACATGGTGAAAGAGACCTCATAACCATTGTTGCCTCATGCCGCACGCATCCAATCTCATCAATATGTAGATGTGTAAGCTGAAATATTAGACTTATACAAGAAAGGCTGATGAGTCAAAAATTGTACTATATTCTTTTGTCATATGCACGTTACATAAAAATTGCATTGAGACACTCATCACTGATATTGGAGTTGCGCCAACTGCCCCCACCTGTCTCTGGGCGACCTCTGGAGCGTTGGAACAGAGAGACGTACCCACTAAAACATGACCAGATCAGGGGAGCTCGGGCCCTGGTCAGCGTTAATCCAACCGCCAAAAGAGCAAAGCTCAAAAGCTGGTCAACCTCTTTGCAGAACATTAGCCCACCCTCCCCCCAAAGTGTGCGGTAGTGGTCCAGTCCATAAGGTTTTCCCTTCTGGCAACGAAGCCATGGATTCCCCCTTGGTGACGCAACTCTTTCGACAGCTGTTCCGCCAACAGCACTCGGCATGTCGCGCCCGGAGAACTATAGCGGCCCTTCCGTCTGCTGCTGCTCTGCGCCAGGGCCGCGCTGCTGGGAGCGGGAGCAGGAGCCTCGTGGTGTCGCCGTCGTCGCAGGAGCAGAGGAGAGGCATGGCCTCGTCGGGTCGACCTGGCACGAGAGGTGCCACAAAGCAATTCGGCAAGGCAAACGAAAGCGACTGGCAGCAGAGGACTGAGCTGTTCTCCTTTGACATGTCCGAAGAGTACAAATCATACCCGTTGGTCACGGCGGAAGAGTTGAAGAGCAGGAAAGAGAGGCCAAGAAAGGTCAAGATGTTGATGCGAGACTTTATCGATGGTGGGTACCTGTTGATGCGCCCCAAAGCAGCTCTTACCAGTCAGTCAACTAACTTGCATTGACAGACAGCCTCTACAACCCGCATTACGGCTATTTCTCAAAACAAGCCGTCATCTTTACGCCCGGCGAACCGTTCGACTTCAACTCGTTTAGAGATGAGCCTGCCTTTGCTCAGGAAAACAGCCGGCGGTGGACCGAGTTTGAGGACAAGCTTGACGAGAAATTGGTCGAGCCAAACGACACGCGGCAACTTTGGCATACGCCGACGGAACTGTTTCAGCCGTATTACGGCCAGGCGATTGCTCGGTATCTCATGGCCAACTACATCATGAAGACGTACCCATATCACGACTTGATCGTATACGAGATGGGTGCTGGACGAGGAACCTTGATGATGAACATTCTGGACTACATTCGCGAGGAGGAGCCTTCGGTTTACGACAGAATCAAGTACAAGATTATTGAGATCAGTCCGTCGCTGGCTGCTATACAGAACTCCCAGCTCATGCGGGATGCTGCCAGCAAGGGACACGCCGACAAGGTTGAAATTATCAACAAGTCCGTGTTTGAGTGGACGGAACGTGTGCCGTCGCAATGTTTCTTCATTGCGCTCGAGGTCTTTGACAACTTTGCCCACGATATTATCCGCTACGACTTGAAGACGGAGGAGCCGCTGCAGGGTATGGTGCTGATTACGGAGAACAATGACTTTTACGAGTTCTACGAGCCAGTGCTGGACCCAGTCGCGGCGAGATTCTTGCGCGTGAGGCACGCGGCCACCAACGGCCGATACCAGGTCCCTTATAGCAACAGCAAGGCTGTGCGCTGGCTCAAGCAGCAAATGCCCTTTGCGCCCAACCTCAGCGACGCCGAGTACATACCGACGAGGCTCATGCAGTTCTTTGACATTTTGGAGAAGTACTTCCCAGCCCACAGACTCGTGACGAGCGACTTCCACACCTTGCCCGACGCCGTCAAGGGCTTGAACAGCCCAGTGGTGCAGACCCGATATCAGAGGCGCATGATTCCCGTCACCACACCTCTCGTCCACCAGGGCTATTTTGACATCTTGTTCCCGACCGACTTTAGGACCACAGAGGCCATGTATGGTGCCCTTACGGGCAAGCTGTCCAAGGTCATGTCGCACGAAGAATTCATGCGCCGTTGGGCTTTTGTCGAAGACACCACCGTGCAGAGCGGAGAGAACCCACTGATGACTTGGTACAAAAACGCCAGTGTCATGATCACGACGAATTAAGTAAAAGATATAGAAATCTGTACCAAAGATGTGTATAAATTCGACGCTGCATATTGCGACTACTTCGCTGCATGGGTCATGGTGATGATGCTTTCTATCCATGTTTCTTTTCCTGTTGTACGTTTTGAACCACTCTTGGGGCCGTGTGAAACAGAGTAAGTCACAAATGACTCTATTATTCTCTGCAAACTGAACAGACCATGATTTGCAAGTCAGGACCTGCCCATAATTCCTCCGCTGAAGGTTCATAGGAAGGCCTGTTTTCAATGAACGTCAAGTGACTAATGGCTCTTCCGCGGCAATTCTTGAGCTGATTCTATGCATCCGATACATGGAAGGTAGTTTAGTGACTTTGCTATTAAAATACCAACTTGGGAGTTGAGGAGCTTAGAGCGGGGACAGGAGTGTTTCTGAGGCCTTTCACCTAGGGCCGCCCATTATTAACCACCGCAAAGTTGGAGGCACTATCGAGAACTCAATATTTTTCCATTATTATGATTATTGAAGACGTAGTCACTTTCAACAAGGCAAGAAGAGTTTCAACATTCTACCATTGAGCTTGGACAGAGTCACCATGTTAGTACCGTGTTGGGGGTAGTGTAACTGGCTTTTGATATCCAGAAGTGATGTTTCAAAGCTTGATACACACTTTGGAATGCGGGCGTTCAAGGAAGGGTTACGTTCATTATGGTAAAGGAAGGCCTGCACAGCTTCTTCCAAGCTCCATGAAATCACCCCAGAAAATTCTCTCTCACTTGTTATTATAATTGGAAAGAAGTCATCGTTCTGCCAGCACTGTAGATGAGTGAAATTGAGCCCTGACCAGATTAAAATGGATGAGAGACCTGGGAAGTGAATGACAAAAAAAAATAGAAAATAACCGAAAAAAAAAAAAAAAAAAAAAAGCCTGGCTGGGATTCGAACCCAGTAATTCTCCTACACAGACCTCCAGTGGGTAGTAGTTTGATTCGCCCTAAAATTCGCCAGCCCTATCGGAGAAGTGCTACCATTGCACCACCAGGTTGAAATAAAAGAAGACTATTTTCAATCAAAACACCTGGGTGGGTGGACGAGCAGCTCTGGAGGAGGGAGGGGGGGGGGGGGAGGGTGGGGGGGGGGGGGGGGGGGGGGGGGAGAGAGAAAGAAAGAGTGAGAGAAACGTATGCAAACGGGGAGTGACCAATGCGGTGGTTGCCCAGTCAGCCTTTCTCCTCCCCTTGTGGAAACAAAGAATCCATCCATCATTCATTGACTGCGTATTTACTCTGTTTGTTTTGAGACTCGTTCTTCAGTTTCATGCTTCTCAAGCTTCTTTCAATGCTTGCCTTCAGGAGAAATGAGTTCAGTCCTGCTCTTCCCATCCATCCATGGCGAACGTTGGTCGATGAGGACAATACCTACCAAAGCTAGAGACTTTCTTCTCGTTGACAATGACTCGTACTCCATGCCTTGAGTGATTCCAGAAGCATATGAGATGACTTGCATGAGTTGCCTCAAAATGGTGTCGTTCGTTTACAGAAATGATCATCTCAAGTTGCGAGACAAGTACAGGATCATTTTCCACGACAATATCCTTGGGATCAAGTTGTCGTAATTGTAGCCCAATCTTTCAAGTGGCCTTGTATCGTTGCAGCGTAACACTTTCAATTATTTGCATGTTGTCAAATCATGGGTCGGGATTCTCGATACTCGCTCTTGTGTTCTTCTCAAGCTTTGCCGAACCTTGGAGGCTTCGACTTGTGGATTGAAACGCACAGTTTCAAGTAAGCTTGTTGAGAAAAATCTGACACTCAATGGAATGCTGACAACTTCCGTTAGTATAAAGCTTGCTCCACGCGAGTCTCGTCACCATGGCTGAGAAGTATGCGAGTAACATTGGTACAAACAGCAGCAAACCCGCGGAGTCCGAACTCACCTAGGCAGCAGAAGCTCATTTAACATGGAAAGGGTATATTACTAGTTCCGCCTCCACATTGACGACTTCATCTAGTTTGTAAGCATGATCATATAAGCTTGGCGGGCGCATTGGGAAACGTTTCTAAATATGCAAGCTTTTCTTGCCAGGATCTTTTAGACGAACAGGCAGATGGCAAATCCTGGTCCCGTTTGGCATTGGGCTGCATCGAAATTGCTGCAGCATTGACTTTTAAGGAAAACCGGCGACCGTCGTATCTCGTGTGTCAAAAGGCGGCGCGACAGTCAAAGTAAACAAAGACTAGGGGAGCAACGGTGACATACTTTTGCCTTTTCTTTTTCTGGCAGAGTTGCCTAAGATGACGATTATTTCCAGCAGCGGCACAACTTCCCCCCGCAGTGACTCACAAAAAGACCTGGGGATGAGCTAGAGGCCCCTTGAAAGCTGACGGAAAGCGGTCAAAGCGTGTTTTGGCATCCGATTGGTGATATTTTATAGTATGGCAAGGGGTTGCCTGATTATCTCTAGATCAGATAAGATTACTTGGCATCTGATCTGATAAAAATGCTTGGCATTGCTCTTATATCCGGAGCGCTTTCATGTGTGTGTATATATATAAGGACAATGCAATATTTGTATCCAAGCTGGCAGTGACACAAGTCAGCTCTTGGAATTCAGTGTTTACTTCAAGAATAGATACACAAATTGATTTACACAAATTGATTGTATTGAACGAAAGACAAAATGGCATCCAGTACCAAGGGCGTTCCAGACAACACCACGATCGGCGTCCTCGCAGAAGCCGAGGCCGCAACAGCCATCTCGAGTACTACCGCGGCCCAGTACGGAGAAGAAGAAGAAGAAGGGACCGACAATGACCCCCATCTCGTCACGTTCCGCGAACCCTTCGACGCTGAGAACCCCCAGACCTGGCCCAGCAACCGCAAGTGGGCCGTGACAAACGTCTTGTCCGCCACGGGCTTCAACCGCATCATGGTGTCCACCATCATGGCCCCGGCCCTCCCCGCCCTGGCCGCCGAGCTGGGCATGAGCACCACCGAGTCCGTCATGAGCCTGTCCATCTACGTGCTCGCGACTGCTCTCGGCCCGCTGGTGATTGGTCCTTTATCTGAAATGTATGGCCGACAGATTGTCCGTGAGTGAAACTTTTTTTTTCAAAGTTATATATTTATACTGCTTGTGCTGTCATGTCAGGAAAGAACGGCTATTTTCATATTATCCCAGCTTGTGTACTGCAAAAGCATTCCCAAGGCCGCCAAGTGGTAGACCAACCCCAACTCTGTTTGATTTTCACGAAATAAATCCCGAGTTTGTATTTTTCAACTCACAGACAAATTGCTGATTCCTGCCTATTCGGATTGGCATACAAAGTCCACGCATCCAATGCCTGGTTCCTACTGTGGAACATGGTCTGCGGCTTCGCCAACACCAAAGAACTCCTCATTGCCTCGCGCTTCCTGGCCGGCTTTGGCGCCAGTGCCATCTACTCTCTGGCCGGCGGCGTGCTGGGCGACGTGTGGTCCGCCGAGCAGCGGGGCCGGTCTCTGGGACTCTATATTCTCATTCCCATCCTGGGATCTGCAGTTGGTGAGTTTTGTCCTCGGTATAGGTTTCTCTTTTTCTTTTCTTTTGTCTTTCTTTTTCCTTTTCCTCCTCCTGGTTTGTCTTAACAGTCAGGCACTTGCTATTGATGGAAATGTTCCCTACGGATCTTTTATCCCTCCTATCGTCTTACCAATTGCTGAAATGTTTTTTTCTGGATTCAGGACCAATCATTGGCGGATTCATGGCGGCGCGGACGACGTGGAGGTGGATGTTCTGGGCCACGTCCATCTTCCAGGGCCTCATGATGGCCGTCTCCGTCGTCGTCTTCCGGGAGACGTACGCGCCCCTGATCCTGCAGCGGCGCGCCGAGCGGCGGCGGCGGGAGACGGGCAACCGCCGGTACCATGCCGCGTCCGAGCGGAGGCGCAACAACCACGAGAAGAAGCACAGCTCCCTCCTGGGCGTGCTGGCCGTCACGCTGACCCGACCGCTGCGGCTGCTCGCCTTTCACCCCATCATCCAGGTCACGGCGGCCATTGAGGCCTTTTACTACGGGCTCCTGTACATTGTCCTGTCGAGCTTTGCGTCCGTGTGGACGGACCAGTACGGGCAGTCGACCGAGGTGAGCGGGCTGCACTACATTGCCTGCGCCCTCGGCGAGGTGGCGGGCGGGCTGGTGGGCGGCCCGCTCATGGACTTCATGTATCGCCACATGCTCCAGCGAGCCGGCACCGGGGAACACCTGCCCGAGTTTCGCGTTCCGCTCATTCTCCCCGTGGCCTTTCTGGGGCCGATTGGCCTCTTTGTGTACGGCTGGGCGGCCGAGTTCCGCGTGCACTGGATCGTGGTGGACATTGGTGTGTTTATATACATGTTTGGGGGGCAAATTACCGGGATGCCACTGCAGGTCAGTCGTCAAAGCGAAAAAGATTTAACGAATGCTCAAGACAAGAGGAACTGACTTGTGTTTATTTGCTTCAACCGCGATGTAGGCTTACGTCATGGACGCATATCCCGAGCACACGAGCAGTGCATTATCGGCCGCACAGTTCCTAAGAAGCATGGCGGCATTCTCATTCCCGCTGTTTGCACCAAGCATGTACAAGGCTTTGGGATACGGCTGGGGCAATAGTACCATCGCCTTCATTGCGCTCGTGTTTGGCATACCGGCGCCGTTGATGCTGTGGTACTGGGGCGCGAAACTGAGAGCAAAGGCGACTTCGAGCCACTAGGAATACGAAGTTACACATGTTGGCAGCTGCATAGGGCCAATCGGTGCTCATGTGAAAACCCCGAGTAGTCCCAAGATGCGGCTGCGAGCATATTTCACTTTCGGTCGCAATTATTGCCGTAGTTGGCAGTATCTTGTTCCGTTCCACCGCGCTTGCATCCCGGTGGTAATGGACTGGACTGGCGACATCGGGGCCCGGCGGTAAATGGGCAGCCTGCCTATATTATTCTAGGTTTAGCACTATTTACAGTATAGACAGTGTGGAGTTGGAAGCGTAGTATCAGTTCACCTCGTTGGCGCGCTTGCGCTTGGAATTGAGACTTGTGGGGTGGACCTTTCAATAATTCGACATCAATCAGTGCAGACTTGAGACTCTATTACTCACATGTTTGTTCAAGACCTCGGGAATATTAAAATCTCCCAGGTCATTCTGACGCAACATTTTCTTCATGCGGAAGGAGATGTCTCGATCCTCGGGCGTACTGTACTGGTCTTGAGTCTTGCTTGACCCAGACTATCATCGAGCTCGGAGATAAACAAGTCCATGCCCGCCTTTTGCCTTCGTCTCATTCGTGGGACTGGTGGAGAGCATTTGCATAGTCCAAAAATTGACTATTTTCCGACCAGTAAAGAGACCAAGAGATGATTTATAATGCAGCGAATGCCACGTGCCTGCACCCTGACACCGGAGTACCTACATATACTATGTTACCCTAGATATGTTTAAAACTCGGCATACGTTGGAAGCATTTTAGGTTCCCAACCAAAACCACGCTGCTTTTAGTTCTGATATCAGACAGGCAACTCAACTCTGCCGCGAGGATGAGTCGCTTCCTGGGTATAACCAGCAACTGAAAGAATTTCTTTTGAGTGGGCATGTATTGTGTGATTCGTCAGCTGTCGAAACGGACATCTCGATGAACTATTCTTTCTTCTTTCCCTTTGGATCATTCCCATTGAACCACGACGAACAATTTGGTCATATCGTTCAACAGTGCTCATTTCCCCTAGAAGATACATAGGAAAGAACCTGCGCACATATGCTTCGTGCGGCCGCCCATGCAGTCGACGCTCGCAAATACGCAGGATGTGACAACATCTGGAAGTCGAGTGTTGACATATGAGCGACAAATTTTCAGAAGAGAGCAGCTCGCAGGAGCTTCCATGTAGAAGACATAGACTACCTCTATGACTGAGCTTCGGAGCAACACATTGGCTATACGTATTACGTAGTGAGGTCTCGGTTCAAATCAGCCGGCAACTCGAGATCGTTAGGTTGCCCGCTGAGCTAAAGTTGGGCCAGTTATGATGA